ATGATATGTAAAATGCAATAAAAAATGTTTTAGCCTAAAGAGCCAAAGTGCAAAGCTTGGGTCGGTCTTGATCACATTGTGACCGACTCAACGATACTAAGACTAAGGTCTTCGTTCTTGGTCTTCGTTTAGCTCTTGTTCTCTTGCTTTCTTCTTATATTTATTTCTCGCCTTGTATATTCAACAACTTGTCTCGTTCACGGCGGTTTGGCATTATCAAAACCTGTCATAAAAACAAACACGGCTTTAGTACGAAAACACGATAAAACCCGTGTTTCAACAACTCCTGTGAGCATGCATAACCTTAGCATTCTTACACTAACAAAGTACTCCGTTTAAATGAGGGCTGTCAAGTCTAAAAATCAGCTTATGGGCACTTCACTCTTTATGAAGTCTTTTAGTTCCATTTCACTAATTTATGGGCACTTTGTCAGTGTATGGCTTCTTTTTCATTAACAATGCACTGTGTTTCATTAGTAGCATTCAATATTTGTTGGAACATATATGTTTCATGATAGAGTATAATAATACCTGCAATTAGTTGTTGATAGTGAAACTATAATCTCACTCTTTTTATTGTTTGTCATTTGGTTATGTATAGTAAAATGGATTTAGCATGCGTGTTTAAGAAATTTTTTGTTAATAAATTCCATCATGAATTAAGATCAGGTTCGTATATGGTTAATCAAAAACTTTCATAAACTTGATAAATGTCTTTGATTTCCTCAGTGAATTAGAAAATATTGTATCTGATTCTCCTCCTCTTGCAGATATGTGACTTATTAAGGGAAGCATAAGAGCATCGTGGGTTATTGTAATGGAGTTAGTGCAGGTAACTGCCATAGTTTGTAAGGCGTCGCCTAGGCGATAAGACGCTGTCACTAGAACGCCTTGACTGCTCGCCTCGCCTAGAAAACCTTAAGGCGATAAGGTGCTCGCCTAGGCGTCGCCATTCCTCGCCTTGATGCCTTGGGCCCCTTTAAAAGTTTGAAAAACCCCATTTTTTTAGTGCAGCCCATTTTCTTTTAGTGTAGCCTTATACACTTAAACTTATCTTCTCTCTCAGTCTTCTCTTTCTCGACCAAGCTTCTATAAAATGTATAAGACATATACATGTATGCATGTGTGTGTGTGTGTGTGTGTGTGTGTGTGTGTGTGTATGTAGGTATGTATGTATGTATGTATGTCGTCTAGTTGTCGCCTAGGCGTGCGCCTAGTCGCCTAGGCGATATGAAGGTACAATGGCGCCTCGCCTCGCCTTGCCGCCTTACAAACTATGGTAACTGCTCGAGGTAAACAAAACTACAATTTCTTTGTGGTGTAAAGTATCAATGGTTCAGGGAAATATTCAGAACTACAACATTTAATGATTCTGGGATAAATTCTAGCCCATAATTGTCGCTGATTTGAGTAAATAACCACCAATTGTCAATATATGTTAACCCGAAAAACCCAAACGAATGCAGTACTTGGTGCATCATGTTCCCTTTTAT